CCCCAAAACCCCAAAACCCCAAAACCCCAAAACCCCATGAAGTATGGATGAATTAAATGCCATAAAATGACTAAAATATTAGTATTTCAATAATTTTATAATTAAAATAGTATTGATAATGTCAGGAGACAATCATCATTTACACGTAGCAGTGCACCCTAAATATGAGTTAGATTTTGGAACTATAATTAGAATCATCCTAGTTACAGGATTTTTCTTTTCTGTAGTTATCGGTATATTTATGGGCTCAAGCAGATTCAAGAAATATCTTCTTCTTGAAAAACTAAGATAATAATTCAAGTCATAATGGAATCCAATTATCGGGTTTTTCCACCCTTAATGGTACAAATTGAAATTTTGATAATTGATTTAATAGTGATGGAGGAGCAGGTGGTGAAAAGGTCTTATACTAAGCTATTCAGGCTATTTAGATCGATAACAAATTCAAGAATTCATAAGTAATGATTTACTCTGGCTCTCAATTAAGCCCAGAACAAATCTTAGCAGCTGTAGAGTCAAGATTTTCAATCAAAATTAAAAGGGAGAATTTGAGCTTTGTGAATCTGCGATTATCAAATAAACTTAAGCCAGATAATTATCCAAGATTCACCATCCTTTTTCAGGCTTTAGCATCTATTTAAGTATGCTTTGAGGCCATGTCCCTTGCTCCATGTGACATCTTTATTGATACAATGGGAGTGGGTTACGCCTATCCTTTTGTTAAGTTATTCTTTGGTCCAAAGATAATTTCCTACACTCATTATCCAATTGTGAGGTAATTATCTATAGATAACTAATTTTATTTACTCTAGTTATGACATGCTTAATACTGTTGGATCAAACACTGTCTAATACAACAATAGCTAAGCAATCGCATAAAGTAAAATCAAGAGCAGTATTAAAAAGGCATACTACTATATTTTAATAGTTCTATATAAAGTTGCTGGTTACTTTATTGACTAAATTGCTACTAACTCATCTTGGACTAATAATCATATCCTACATGTATGGAATGCTCCAAAGAAAACTCAAATTATGTATTCTATTAATGATTTAAATTTATTTATATTAGCTATCCACCTATTGACACAAGAGAGTTCAGTGTACTTGACCTTAACAAAAGAAGAAAGAATATAATGGTATCAATGGCATAGTTTAGACCAGAGAAAGAGCATGATCTATAAATTAGAATTTGGGCTAATGCTCTAGAATAGCTTCCACAAGACTCAAAATTCTACATGATTGGAACAGTGAGAGACAAGGATGATGAAAGAATAGTAGAGCAATTAAAAGACTTAGCTTAAAACTTAGGAGTCTAAGATAGTGTTAAGTTTGAGATTAATCAGCCGAGAAATACAGTTATTTCAATCTTCGAAAATGCAAAAGTTGGAGTTCATACTATGAAATATGAACATTTTGGTATTGCAGTTTGTGAACTAATGGCTGCTGGTATAGTGACAATAGCTCATAACTCTGGTAAGAAATTAATTATTTATTATTTTATAGCTGGACCTAAAGAAGATATTATTGGAGCGAATGAGAGCTAAGTGGGTTATTTGGCAGAAAGTGAAGATGATTATGTGAAATTTGTGTAACTTGGAATGAACAATTTTGAAAAACTTGGGTAATAATTCAAATTGTATTGAAGTTTTTAGAAATTTGAGGAAGAATGCCAGAGAATGGGTAAATTCAAGATTTAGTAAGGAATAATTCAATGCATAATTCATAGAGATGCTCAACTGCTGTGTCTGAATAAAACAAATTAAATTTCATTACAACATAATCATTAATTGGATAGTGTCTCGGGGTTTTGGGGTTTTGGGGTTTTGGGGTTTTGGGG